ACCTGGGATCTCAACTTCAATCGTAACATACACAATAATGATCGTATGAGGACGGATGTTTTCGGGGGAGTGAGTAAAGTTCCTGGTCAACGAGCACAGCCGCATGTTGGTATCCAGGCTGAGAGAAACATCGGTAAAAACGGCTTCATCAGGGGTTCTGGTCAGCTTCAACCGGGTCGTGGAGGTCACGGAGTCTCTCCATCGTTCGGCGTGAGCACTGGCGTCCGATTCAGGAGAGAAGCCGATCCCCAAAACTCGATAAACTTCCAGGGAACACAGCCTCTAAGCGGACCGAATAGGCAACCCACCTGGGATCTCAACTTCAATCGTAACATACACAATAATGATCGTATGAGGACGGATGTTTTCGGGGGAGTGAGTAAAGTTCCTGGTCAACGAGCGCAACCGCACGTCGGTATTCAAGCTGAGAGGAACTTCGGCAATAACGGTTTCATCAGAGGTTCTGGCCAGCTTCAACCGGGTCGTGGAGGTCATAGAGTCTCTCCGTCTTTCGGGATAACCGGTGGTTTCCGGTTCAGGAGAGAGGCCGAAACCCAGTTTGCTTAGGCAAACTTTGACAACAACGTTTTTGGACAATTTTTGTCAAATCCGAGAGGTCACTGTGTCTCATCCTGCATTGGATATAACCGGTGACCTTTTATTCTGGAAGGAAATCGAGGAAATTGATAAAATTAATGTGGAAGTGTAAATTTAAAAAAAACCGGCTTTAACCGGCTATTAACTGCGAAAAAATTAGACAAAATGGACGAATTGCCAACGTCGAACAATGGTATATATAGTAAGCTTTAATTAGATATATTTTTTTATTTTTGTATTTATATATATTTTTGCAAGTATTAATAATAAGTTTACGAGAATATAATAATAAATTATGTAATATAATAATAAGTTTACGTAAAATTATCATTAAGCAGAGATTGTAAATAATAAATCGTATCAGAATGAGTATTTCTCTGTACATATATACTGCACTTGAATTATCCATTAATAGCATTAAAGAGTCACGTCGCGACGCACGTGGCTTCTCATATATCTGGTGTGATGTTAAAATTCGGGTTCGTCCTGAAAATCGTGTCAAATGTACTCGAAGGCTGTGTAGGTCGGTCGGTCTGCGCCGCGCGAAAATGCGATTTCCACGAGAACAACATTTCTGCAGGAATTCCTTCCTGAAGACGCCATCTTCTGCCTCGTTCCCCCTCCTTCCCGTTCCTTCTCTCTTTCTCTCTCTTTCTCTCTTGCTATCTATCTCTTTCCCTCTCGCCCTTTCGTCGCGGCAAATTAAGCTTCCCAAAACACCGCGAAACTGTTAATTAAGACTCATTATGTTCGCTACAGGGGATGGTTGCCTGGGATGGAAGGTGGCCGAAGCGGAGGATGAAGACCACGAAGGAGCCGTAGGTGGGGAGGGGAGCAGTGGGGGTAGGCGGGGGTGGTTTAACCCGAGTACGAACTTCTTAATACCGCAGCTGCAGTCGGGTTCATTGTGGGATCAATACGGGGAGATCCGTGGTAGTGGCAAGCCAAGTGCGATTGGCCCTGACGATCGGGCACAGCGATTGGCCGGTGCCGGCACTGCCAGGAGGCGGATCCTGCTACAGACCTGTCGTCAGGGTGGCGGAAAAGGGGAAGAGGATACGCGTCGCCGTTTGTAAACAGAGACGGGAACGGCTTAGAAAAAGACAGCGACAGGCACTAGGGAGAGAGGGTGACACACGGTGTCGTGTCTGGGGGTTCAGTCTGTGTTCACCCATGAGAGACACACCACCAGCGGCGACACGCTCCGCTCACGTCGCGAGGGTGGCTCGTTTTGTCCGCCAACTGGTCATCCTCGATCACGAGGACCGCCTGTCTTACGTATTGTATGCATCGCGATTGGATGGTTCCCGTTGGAGAAGACTCTTCCAAGAATAGATTGTCTAAACAATCAGTGGGACGCAAACGATGACATGAGTCATGTGTGTCATCTTGAACAGCTGGTGGGTTCGGGAGATGAGGTGTTGAGGACGGTGACAGCGGCTCTTCTCATTAGCTAAGTGAAGTGTCGATTTCAAGTGTTCATAAGTAGCTAGAAGAGGATTAAGTAGAGAATTCCACTTTGTGAATAATCTGCAAGCTGTGAACAATTTGATATTCTTGAATTTCAAGTCGTGAAATTAATTGTGTACCTCGTCGTAGGTGATTATACAAAACGATAGTGCAGTGTTGAAGTCAGTGATAATTGATCTTTATCGAGAAGCCCTAAAAACGAAGATCTTCGAGAAGAGAACTTTCGGAAAGAAACGCCTGATAAACAAAAATAAACAAAGGTGCCTTCTTCCGTAGGAAGGAAAGCCCTACATGATTCCGTTTATCTTACCGGCCGTGAGGTCCTTTAAAGGAGTAAGTTAAAGATATGACGTTATTCGATACACTCAGCTGATGACGACAACCTGAATCCTTTTGGATTCACGCAACGTGCTCACCCTGAAAGGAGAAACGAGGAAGAGGAGCGATCGGTCGATACATTTCTTGCGTCGTGTATCGTGAGCTATCTGGAAGAATTTATCTGCACGTACGTTAGCAATTCGTCGTGCTTCAGTGGCCTCGAGAAATATTGGAACTGTTTTTATCTGATTAGAAGTGACTGAAATTACATCTAAGTAAGATTAAGGAGAATATCTTGTGATCAATTAGCAAACATCTAATTTCCCATAATTACGTCTCTCGTTTCCCTTGCGAACACGCACGAGTCATTGTTTGTGTGAACCGACGGATCGGGCGTTTCTCGACATACAACATCGTTCCTGTATATAGATTCGACGGCTGAGGAATTCTGGAATCTCGAATAATTTTGTATATTTAAATCGACGTTGCATAATTCAAAGCAACGCAGGAGAAATCAGAAACTCTATCTCGCAACGATAGAACACGTCGTTCGACTCTCCTCGTGATAACGCGGTGTATCGTGAATCGACCGCTTCTACCGTATCTAGAAATTATAAATAACCTGGGAAATTTAGACCAATTATACCGCGGCTACTGAAGTCATCGAAGAAAGCCTCATCGAAAAGAGACTCAACAATAATAATACATCGAAGCAATCTGCAATGTGCACGAAACATCGTCCTTAGTGCCGAGCCGACGACGAATCCAGTGAATCCCGAATAGTCTCGAATGTTTGAGCCGACCGCGGCGCGCCATTGACGGAGGTGAATAAGCCAAAGGGTGGTGTTCGAAAGGGTGGTGCGACGTTCGGGTACGCAAGTCTGCAGGCCAGCTCTGGGGTGCCGGGCCCGGGCGGGGTGATGAGCTGCTCCGATGTGATGTATCAATATTATCCTTACCTCTACCAGACCCACCGGCCACCGCCGCCGCACCCGACTCACCCTCATGCGGCCCCGCACAGCCACCCCCACGCCAATCCGCACGCGGCCCACCACAGTCCAGCCAGGCCGGCGCCCTTCCAACCCTTCCCGGCAGCCACGACGACGCATCAGTATGATAGGGTGAGTCGATACCTTTAAATTATTTTTGTCGATTTTTTGCGGGAAAGAGGAACACTGAACTGCTGCCGTGAGACCTCAATGAGTTCTCATTACTCACGTCTGATAAATTTAATTGCGAGCAATAATAATTGAGAATAAAAATTGCAAATGATATTGGACATAATTAGACTTGCAAAGAAACTTTTAATTATATGTTATGGCAAAGTTACGATACAAGATCTGTCGCTAATAGGCGACGTGGAAAACTGTCGAAGGCGCTAATAGGATACGCCGGGTCGCCCATGTTTCTAAAGTGGTCCATCGGCACATTTTTATAACCCCGTTCTCGGGGCTTGTCGCCGGTACTTGAGTCGTCCGAAGCAATTAAAGACAGACCTGCGCGTTGTCCGGTCATTAAGTTCGGCGCGTTCGGTAAAACGACTGCGAACGTTTATAACAAGTTCCGCTTGTATTCTACACCGACTGTTCCCGCTTTTACGGCGAACGAATATTCTTTACTGCCGTATAAATTAATCGGGAATGATTATATTACCGCGCGCGCGAATGTAATTCTTTATTCGGCTTATCATCGGCTGAACGGTACAATGATGAACCCCTGCAGTGTGTTGAAATACTGGGGAACGTTTATTCAACAAAATAAACGTGTCCTCAACTGGAAATTTGTCATATTCTTTCTCTTTTCTCTTTTTTTTACCTAATTAACGAAATTTCACGAAATTCTCAATTTCATCGATCTTGGAGTTCGCGGATTCTGCGATTCTCGGATTTCCGTATAATGGGTTCTGCCGAGTACTCGACAGTCCCACGAATCGTTCGATACACGAATCTTCGGCCATTCGCATTTCCGAGAAGTAGAAGAGCACCGTCGACGTGGCACCACGTATTCTGAAATAGTTTCGCGACGGCAAGGAAAAGGTTTTCGCGAGTAGCGCGAGGGAATCGCCTGTGTATCATTTTAATTTGTCTGCTGGGAGGTCAGGCGTGTTCCTGCCCTCGGCGAGCACCCATCCGTGCGCTGTGGGGTGTCGAGTGCTGTTGTGCCGTCTTTCCCGACTCGGTGGGAAAGCAATGTTCCTTTTTCCCAGCAGACCCAACTCACTTAGGTAATATTAAACCACTTGTAACTAGTGATGCGAGCCGAAGATATTCTCGAGAGGATATTCTCGGAAAACGAAGATATTTTGAGAACGATGATACCCCGCGACAAAGAGACTGTCAAATGACATTCTGTAAATATTATCTGAGAAAGTATCGAGCAACATACACTTTCTTTGAGAGAAAAAAAAATATTCCACGCGAAAAAGAGCATCATAATATTTAAATCATAGAAGTTGAAAAAAATATAGACAACTCGGAGATTTAAGATTGTGATTTCAGATCGGAATTTTTCAAAAACGCGATATTTTCACCGTAATAATTCGTTTAGTAAACGAAATGCGTAAACAAACACGTGATGAGAGGATAATAATGTTCGATATTACTGAACAAACATAGAGCTGTTATCTTTCGTAGATTTAAGTGCTATTTCTAAGCTTTCTAAGATCAAATTTCCTTGTATCATAAAATTTTCGAATTCAATCTTGATATTCTAGCATCTTTGAAGCGATGCGACCGCTGAACTTTAATAATTTAAGATTCTAAGAGTTCTGCGCTCTCGTGGATACCGAGAAAGAAACTCGTTCTGTCGCCTGATATGCGTGAACTCCCAATCTTTCGGCTGGATCATTGCGATCGGCGCGTCCGGCGGAATCTCGCCTTTAATATGCAATTGAAAATTGAGCGGAGCTCCGCGATTAATCAGATGAGCCCGGCGCTCTTTTCTTTTCTTCTCGCAAGACATATAGCTACGAGCGCGTCGTTTGATCCATTTATCTATCAATCTCCCGGCGACATGGTAGAAACACACACCGGACGTTCCCCGCGCTTCTCTCTTTCTGTCCCGTTCTCCGTGGCGATCGCGAGATAACATCCGGCAAAAGCGTTAAGCCCGCGCGATACGAACGAAACGGCAAAGGAGAGAAGGAAAGCCGATCCCGACAGTCGGACAGGTTCTCTCCGCGAACGGACTCCCCCCGAAGGAAGAAGAGGCCCCCGGCTCATATCCTCGAGGCCCGGGTAGTTCACGCGACCGCGGCGACACGAATTTACTTTTATTTAAACCTCCTCTCCTTCCTTTTATTTAGAGCCCGAGGAGCCGGGAGGAGCGCCGCGCTCATTTTGCTCCTTTGCCGGCCTCCGCTCTCTGTCCCCCCGGTCTCTGAATTAATAGCCGCGCTAGTGTTTTTCGCAGTGTGTCGGCCACGGTGCATGTGTGCTGTGTGTGAATGTACGTTGCACACGCGTGTGCAAAGGCGCGTACCTACGTGACACGCGTTAAAAATGCGCACCGTTTTCTCACGACGACGACGACGACGACGAAGCAAACCGAAACCGCCGTGCTTCATCGCTCCTGCACGGCCAAGTAAGCGAGCGAACGTTCAGGACTCTCGTGGCTGCGCTCGCGGAAAATGATGTACGGGATGTGTCGCAGGACGAAGCTGCGACCCGATCCCTCCGTGGCCACTGCGAGCCCGGCTGCGAGCTTCAGTATCATGACAGTATCATGACATCGATGGAAGTTAATCAAACGCGATTTCGGTGGAGTTCTCGTGTGAACGCGCCGATATATAATATTCAATTTCTTGGAATAAAAAAGTTTAATTAGAGACAAGTAGGCGACTTTTGCAAACGATATCAATCATGATCGTGACGCGCCTCGGGAATAATAATTTAGAAAAAAATTCGGACGGAGAGAACCCGAGAGATCGGGACGATTGTTTCGGCGGAGAGAAACGCGTCCGCGCGAAGGGAGAGACAGGTGCTGGTCGCAGGAGAAGCCCGCAAGAACCTGGCTATCCTTCATTAGCACTCTCGTTACCTGGCCGCCGTTTCTTCTACGCACAGCGAACGCAACACAAACACACACACACACACACACACACATATATATATACGCACGCATGTGGAATCCACACTATATACTTGCAGCCTTGCACCATCAGCGCGTTATGTCATGCAGTTTGCGCTCAAAAGTCGGTTAATGAAAATAGGACCAATAAACACGAGCACCTCTTCGCATCCGACGGGAGATACGTGAGAGTTCGCGCTCGAGAAATTTAGAATTTTAGGTTAAATGCGCGGTGACACGAGGAAGAGAGGCTCGCAGACTTCTTCTGGGTATCTTCGCGAAATTGACAAACTAAAAGGAAAATCGGAATTCGCGGGAGACCTGTGCCGCGAGCCTCCTCGAAGACGGTGGAATCTAGCATCCGAGGAACTTACACACAGTTCAAGGAGACTGCGATTCGAGACATTCGGTACTCAAGGAATCTAGAGACCGAGCTATTAGAATTCAAAACGTGTAGAATCTAGGGCGCTTAGACACCGGGGTACCTCGAATCCGTGTAATTCGGAGTCCGAGATATCGACTCGTCGGAGCTCGACCAGCGCCAGCGTCGAGTGATCGAGACCGAAACAACGTTGTCAAGTGCCGCGTTAATCGAGTCCCAACCTATAATTACCCGGCTCTGCCCCTCTTCGGGATCGTCCTCTCGGCAAACGATAATAAGCCACCGGGCGCCTCTTTCACGAAACTAGCGGACAAGCGTGACAGTATAACCGGCAGCAGCAAACGAGAAATAGAAAGAGAAAAGGAGAGCGGGAGGAAGGAGTAGAGGGTAAGAGAAGAAGAGGGAGGGAGAGAGAGGAAAGGAAAGAAGGCAAGATAGAGGAAGAAAGAGTAGTCGTAAAAGCGCATTTTTCTCGGGTATCTGGCCGATTAATGAACCGATGTCGTCGCCAAGACCACCCCGAAGGGTGCGCGTACGGGACGCGCATCCCTCGCGATAGACCGACAGCAGTCCAGGACTATAATACCTATCCTATAACCAGCTCCTGTCCGTCCTCCTAGCAGCAGGTCTCAAACGGACCGCGCCTTTACCTGACCAAGTTTTACGATCGTCGCGCCGAGGTGGCGATGTGTCCTCGTGTTATCGTCCTGGCGGGATCTGGCCTGGCTAAAGCAGGCTTCTGCCACGGCTTCTTTTATTATATTTCTCTTTCCTTCTCCTCCTCCTCCTCCACCTCTTCCTCTTCTTTCCTCCGTGCTGTTGTTGGCTCCTCTTCGCGGCCGAGAAACACAGGACGACAGGGGCATTACTTTGCAATCCGCGACCGACGCGTTCGTAAATTTGACTTAGGCGCGATACTCGTTTGAGAGAAGAAGAGAAGTAGTTAGTATGTTGACGATGAGAGGAAATTATTTATCTTTCACGCTGGCTGACAGAGCGATTAGATATGGGCTTGTTATTTAATTTGATAGAATGGCTACTCAATTGATAATTATATAAGCGACAACATCCCAAGTTGAAGTTTGGATCCTACTTTCGATCGCAATATTCTATTTAACGCCTACTTTGAGGTTATCTTTCGAACCTACAAGTAGCATTTTGCGTGTTTCCAGCGCGATTAAAGGCGACAAGTACACGGAAAGAAGGAGTCAGCTGCTGCATCAAAAGTCTGTGTATCGTAGCTAGATCTTATAGTAACACAGGTAAAACACTGAAAGCTATAGCTGCTACTAGGCATGTATTCAGCTATGAAACCGAAGTGGCAGCAACAGTAACAAAAGTTCCAGTAGCGAACTTTTAGTGATAATACTTAGTTAAGTTATACATACAAATATATTTTCAAATATATTTTCAAAATCATGATTAGCTACGACAGTAGTGGAGTCTCTTTTTCCACATGAAACATTGCTTTCCATGTGATCTTACAGTATGTACAAATGTTAGAAAGTTTAGGTCGAAAGTAGGGTTAAAATTTCAGGGAAAGGGAGGAGGGGAGGAGGCGTGTTTAATCGTTACGATTAAACGATTCGTCGAGATCTCCTGAATTCCTACCGAGATCTTTTCAGACTTCATCTTACGCTCGGTAGCTTAACTGTCACGTTGTGCCCTCGT